GTCCCTGTTCCTCTCCCATCCCCATCCGCCCGACCTGGCACCCCGGAAGCCGTGGGGAAGAGGGCCGTGGCTGGGCTCAGCCCCGCGCTGCCCCCAGGCGGCCAGGAGAGGATGGCCCTGGGGAGCAGGGGGCGGGAAGTCGCTCATACTGAGGGCTGGTCACCACCCCTAAGCCCCAACATGGAGGAGCTACTCCGGTGCGTGGAGAAGGACCTGAACATCGATGCCCGGCAGCTGGCTCCAGCCCCGGGGGGCACCCACGTGGTGGCCCTAGTGCCCGCGCGCTGGCTAGCCAGCCTCCGCGAGCGCCGGCTGCCCCTGGGACCCTGCCCCCGGGCGGAGGGCCTGGGCGAAGCGGAAGTCAGGACTCTTCTGCAACGCTCTGTGCAGAGGCTGCCTCCCGGCTGGACGCGAGTGGAGGTGCACGGGCTGCGGAAAAGGAGGCTGACCTACCCACTGGGCGGCCTGCCTTTCGAGGAGGGGTCCTGCAGCCCAGAGACCCTTACTCGCTTCATGCAGGATGTGGCTGCCCAGAATTATCGCAACCTGTGGCGCCATGCATATCATACTTATGGGCAGCCCTATAGTCATAGCTCTGCCCCTTCAGCTGTCCCTGCCCTGGACTCAGTAAGGCAAGCTCTGCAGAGGGTCTATGGTTGCCCCTTCCTGCCAGTGGGTGAAGCTACCCAATGCCCATCATATGCAAGAGATGGCCTCTGTCCTCATCGGGGCAGCCCGGCCTGTCCCAGTCTTCTGAGAGCCGAGGCTTTGCTGGAGTCGCCAGAGATGCTGTACATGGTGCACCCTTATGTGCAGTTCTCCCTGCATGATGTGGTCACCTTCAGCCCTGCCAAGTTGACCAACAGCCAAGCCAAGGTGCTCTTCATTCTCTTCCGTGTGCTGAGGGCCATGGATGCCTGTCACCGCCAGGGACTGGCCTGTGGGGCCCTATCTTTGCACCACATTGCTGTGGATGAGAAGCTTTGCAGTGAGCTTCGGCTGGACTTGAGTGCTTACGAGAGGCCTGAGGAGGATGAGAACACGGAGACCCCTGTAGTGAGGGCCGGGGCAGGCACTGAGCCTGGAGAGGATGGAGGAGGGGGACCCGGGCGTTCCATCCGCCAGGAGGAACTTAGGGACCTTGTGCTAGGCTGGGTCCATGGCCGCATCAGCAACTTCCACTACCTCATGCAGCTGAATCGATTGGCAGGTCGGCGGCAGGGGGATCCTAATTACCACCCAGTGCTGCCCTGGGTGGTGGACTTCACCATGCCCCACGGGCGCTTCCGAGACCTGCGCAAGTCCAAGTTCCGCCTCAACAAGGGGGATAAGCAGCTGGACTTCACTTATGAGATGACACGGCAGGCGTTTGTGGCAGGTGGTGCAGGTGGCGGGGAGCCACCTCATGTTCCTCACCACATCTCTGACGTGCTCTCTGACATCACATACTATGTGTACAAGGCTCGGCGCACACCCCGGTCGGTGCTCTGTGGACACGTGCGGGCACAGTGGGAGCCCCACGAGTATCCTGCCAGTATGGAGCGCATGCAGAACTGGACACCCGATGAGTGCATCCCTGAGTTCTACACCGATCCTTCCATCTTCTGCTCCATCCACCCTGACATGCCTGACCTGGATGTGCCGGCCTGGTGTAGCTCTAGCCAGGAGTTCGTGGCTGCCCACCGGGCATTGCTGGAGAGCCATGAGGTGTCTCAGGACCTGCACCACTGGATTGATCTCACTTTTGGCTACAAACTCCAGGGCAAGGAGGCTGTGAAGGAGAAGAATGTGTGTCTGCACCTGGTCGATGCCCACACGCACCTGACCAGCTACGGCGTGGTGCAGCTCTTCGATCAGCCACACCCCCAGCGCCTGGCTGGGGCCCCTACCCTTACCCCGGAACCTCCACTCATTCCCAGGCTGTTACTCCAGACCATTCAGGAGAGCACAGGCCAGGAGGACTTCTCTGGACAGCTTACAAATGGGGTGGGCAGGCCAGTTTTGGAAGCTACTCCCTGTGAGGCTGGCTGGGCCAGAGACCGGCCCGGGGCAGGGGAGGATGACTTAGAACAGGCCACAGAAGCTCTGGATTCCATCTCTCTTGCTGGGAAAGCAGGTGACCAGCTGGGCCCCTCTTCTTCCTCCTCCACTTCCTCCAGTCAAGCCCCCCCAGGCCTCCTGTCTTTCTCAGGGGCCTCAGCTTCTCGACCAGGCCGCAGGAACAAAGTTGCTGGCACAGACCTTGGGGAAGGTGAGGAGGGCAAGATTCTTCTTCCAGAGGGCTTCAATCCCGTGAAGGCTCTGGAAGAGCTGGAGAAGCTGGGCAACTTCTTGACCAAAGGCCTAGGGGGCCGCTTGGAGGTGCCTGAGCAGTCCCAGGTCCAGCCACCTGTGCAGCTGCGGGACCTCTTCCATCGGGACATGCAGGCACTGGGTGTCCTGTTGGCAGAGATGGTGTTTGCCACAAGGGTCCGGACACTGCCACCGGATGCGCCTTTGTGGGTGCGCTTCGAGGCTGTTCGGGAGCTCTGTTCACGCTATCCCAAGGAGGTCCCGGTGTCTCTGCAGCCTGTGCTGGATATGCTCCTGCAGCTGAGTGGCCCCGAAGGCCCCGTGGTTGCAAGGAGGGGCAAGCTGGACCCACTGTTTGGGTACAGGCCCATCTCCCAGGGATTGCCCCCACCCTGCCCGGCCCAGCTCCTCAGCCCCTTCAGCTCCGTGGTTCCCTTCCCTCCGTACTTCCCTGCACTGCACAAGTTCATCCTCCTGTACCAGGCAAGGCGGGTGGAGGATGAGGCCCAGGGGCGGGAGCTGGTCTTTGCTCTGTGGCAGCAACTGGGTGCAGTACTGAGTGACATCACCCCCGAGGGCCTGGAGATCCTGCTGCCTTTTGTCCTGTCACTCATGTCTGAGGAGCACACGGCCGTGTATTCGGCCTGGTACCTATTTGAACCCGTTGCCAAGGCACTGGGCCCCAAAAATGCTAATAAGTACCTGCTGAAGCCTCTCATTGGTGCCTATGAGAGCCCCTGCCGGCTGCATGGCCGCTTCTACCTGTACACTGACTGCTTTGTGGCCCAGCTGATGGTGCGGCTGGGCCTACAGGCCTTCCTCATCCACCTGCTGCCCCACGTCCTACAGGTGCTGGCTGGGGGGGAGGCCTCCCAGGAGGAAAGCAAGGGCCTGACGGGGGCTGCTGAGGATGAAGACAGTGGGCTCCCGGGGGGCAGGCCCAGCTCCTGTGCCTTTGGGGAGGAGATCCAGATGGATGGGGAGGCTGCCACCTCCTCAGGCCTGGGGCTCCTGGACTACACGTCTGGAGTCAGCTTCCATGACCAAGCCGACCTCCCTGAGACAGAGGACTTCCAGGCCGGGCTCTACGTGGCCGAATCCCCTCAGCCCCAGGAGGCTGAGGCTGTGAGCCTGGGCCGGCTGAGTGACAAGAGCAGCACCAGCGAGACCTCCCTGGGGGAGGAGCGGGCCGCAGATGAGGGGGGCGCTCCTGTGGACAAAAGCAGCCTCAGGTCAGGCGACAGCAGCCAGGACTTGAAGCAAAGCGAAGGCTCCGAGGAGGAAGAGGAAGAGGAAGGCTGTGTGGTGTTGGAGGAGGAGGAGGGGGAAGGGGAACAAGATGAGGTCCCCGAGGCGTCTGAGCTCACCCTGTCTGACACCGTGCTGTCCATGGATACGGTTGTGGCTGATGGCGATGGGGCAGTTGGCGAGGAAGGCGAGGAGCCACTGACTGAGCAGTCCGAGGGCAAAGAACAGAAGATCCTTCTTGGTGAGTTCTCAGGCCTGGAGGTGTTGATCAGTCTTCATTTGCTGAGCCCTTGCCCTGTGCCAAGCAGTGGATTGAGCAGATCCACAGGTAGCATAGATGTGGGCATCCAAAAGGGGAGTGCCATGCTGTAAACAATCTTACGTAAGCACAAGTTACTTTAGTGCTATAAAGAATAGGGCTGAAGTGCTACAAAAGAATATAAAATGGGGCTTAGATCTCATTTTTTGTGGTCAGAGAAGGCTTCCTTGAAAGTAGGGCCAGTTGAAATTCAATGAAGAGGAGATAGCAGGGCCAAAATGGCAGGGTCTGAGGTGGGAAGAGCATTCCAGGCAGAGGGAAACAGCACATGTGAGGCTCTGAGGCTGTCATGGTTCCATCAAAGAATCAGTGAAAGGCCAGCATGGTTAGACTGAGAGACTGAGGAGATTTGGAGTGGGCAGAGGCCAGAGCGGGCGGTAGCCAGGGCCAGGCCAGGACGTCATTTAGGAGCTGAAGATTCACTGAAAAGGTAACCTTCCTGCAAGTTGTGCCCGAGTAGAGGAGCTGGGAGCAACTTCAAAGCCAGAGTCCCACAGGCCACCTCCGCTGCTCCTGGAGAGAGGGTAGCAGCGTGGGGCGATCAGGCTCTGGCTGGGCTCCTTGGCAGAGTAGGAGCCAGAGTTGGTGAGGAGTGGCAAGCTGCCGTTATCTGATGAGCTCAGGGTCTGCTCCTGCCCTGCAGACACGGCCTGTAAGATGGTCCGCTGGCTGTCCGCCAAGCTCGGCCCCACGGTGGCCTCTCGTCACGTGGCCCGGAACCTGCTCCGTCTGCTCACGTCATGTTATGTTGGTAAGGCCTGGGGTTGGTGCTGTGGACGGGGCTTCCTCCCAGCCCTCTGCCCATCTTCAGTTCCCTGTAGGGGAGCCTTCCTGCTCCCACCTCAGATCAGACCACCTCCTGGTCAGGTCCTGGGTCCCAGCCTGCAGGCTCCTTCCTTCCTTGGGTAGGGTGTGGGGCAGACCTCAGGCTAGAGCGAGCAGGAGGGGCTGCCACGGTCCCTGGAAGTCCGGCCTCCCTCCTGCTGTCCACTCGCTACTCAAGGCTGCTGGCCCTTCCTTGCTTGGCAGGGCCCACCCGGCAGCAGTTCACGGTGAGCAGTGGTGAGAGCCCCCCACTGAGTGCCGGCAACATCTACCAGAAGAGACCGGTGCTGGGCGATATTGTGTCGGGCCCTGTGCTCAGCTGCCTCCTCCACATCGCCCATCTGTATGGGGAGCCCGTCCTCACCTACCAGTACCTGCCCTACATCAGCTACCTGGTCAGTCACCATTATTCTTCTGGGGGCTGGGAGGCTAAGGAGTCTGAGGACCCACCCAGGATCTCTGGGGAGTCTGGGACAACCTGGCTCTCACCTGCTCTGCGGCCCTAGGTGTCCCCAGGTAGCACCCCCGGCCCCAGTCGACTGAATAGCCGTAAGGAGGCGGGGCTGCTGGCAGCGGTGACTCTGGCACAGAAGATCATCGTGTACCTCTCAGACACCACGCTCATGGACATCCTGCCCCGCATCAGCCATGAGGTCTTGCTGCCTGTGCTCAGCTTCCTCACTTCCCTCGT